TTACAGCTTATCAACCAAACACTACTCTGCTACTTAAATTCATAATCCCACAGCTACACCAAATAGGTTAACAGCTTATGTTCACATCTGTTAAGTTATAATCAATAATCACTTTTTCACAACTCTACCAAACGGGGCCATAGTGACAGTTGGTTTTTTTAGTAGCTTTTTCGTTATTTTTATTTTCTTTAGTGATTTTATTTTTAAGTCAAAAAAATTTCACTTTTAGGTCTTACTAGACTAGATTGACCTGAAAAGTTATTTTTAGAAAAAGGTTTATAAGTTCACTAAAAAAAAAAAAAAAATTTTAAAGTTTAAAAAGTTGAGTTTTTTTTTTTATTTTTTTTTTTTCTGAATATTCTAAAAAATAAAATTATTTATAAAAATAATTTACTTTTGAAATTATTTATCAAACTAATCATTTTTCTGAAATCATAAAATTATAAGGTAGAGAAAAAAAAAAAAAAAACTTATATGAATTTGTTTAGCATGAAAGTGCAAAGTAAAATTAATCAACAGTGTAACTAAATTTTTTTATTAATTACAAAAAAAAAGAAAAAAGAAAATATGAATGGGTACAACTTATCTATGACTAAGGCCTAGTTTGGAAAGACTAAATAAGTGTACTTTTTGACTTTTTATGAAATATGAGTTGGATTTGAGTTGGGTTTGAAGTGATGTGTTAGAGAGGTGATGTGACTTAAATAAGATGATGTGACTTAAATAAGATAGTGACTTTTTGACTTTTTGTCTCTTTTCAATTGTGCCAAACTTGGCCTAAAATTTTAATTTTTTTTTTATTTTTTTCTTACAAAATTTTCATCTTATTTAAAATGTTTGCAAGAGAATAGATGTTCTATTTTCTATTTACTTTTTTCTTTTCTATTTAAAATATGTTTGCCAGAAAATATAATAATTCAAAGGCAAAATTATAACTAAAAAGTAAATTGAATTTTCACTATTCATACAATCTTCACAATCCAATTTTACTATGAAATTGAAACTTGGATTTTGTTTTCCCCATAAATTCATCCTCAAAATCTGATCCACTATGAATTGTAACTACAAAATCCAGTTTCATTATAAAATCGCAATTTTAAAATGCGATTTCAAAATCACAACTTCAAGATGTAATTTTCAAATAGCAACTTCAAGATGAGATTTTGGAATTGCAAGTTCAAGATGCGATTTCCTTATGCCATGACAGCGACGTATGAACATGTTAGAAATCTTCTAAGGGAACATGTCAACATGAAATTGTAGGTTCAAGTTACGTTTTCAATATGAAAGGGGAACTTGAACTTGCAATTTTGTAAAAGTAGTTAACTTGATAAATAGTTTCAAAAGTAGGTTATTTTCATAAATAGTTTCATTTTTTGGAATATTTAAAAAAAAAAAAACAAAGTTTTTGGTTAAATAATAATTATAAATGGAAGAAAATTTTAAAAATTAAATGTTTAATTTTTTTTATTCAATAACAGAATATTTAGTATGTTTATGTTTGTATTTATCAAATTGTAAAAGTTATAAATGAAAACTCAGTTAACCTGTATTTTTGTTTCTAAAAAATCTATAAATAGTATACAAGATTTATTAAATTCTTATAACAAGTGTTGGTGCTAAAAGTTGGATTCCTCTGTCGATAGGGTGCAAACAAGACATAAAGGATGACCTAGCATAGGTGACATGGAAAGAACATAAAGTATTGGCCAAGATGGTGCAAACAAAAGCTGGGATAAGAGATAAACAAGAAGTGGATCAAAGAGGAATTTGAAATTCAAATACAACTCTTGGTCTTGGAATGAAGGGATAAGCATGTAGATTTCAAGGATCTAGGAAGATCAAGATCGAGAGCCTGGTTAAGAAATAAGTATAAAAGAAGGCTGAAGGCAGAAGAAAAGGATCATCTCTCAAACCTCATTCACAAGACGTGATATTTATGTACGAGTAGTTTAACTTAGCATTTTTAGGAGTAGAATAGTAGTAGCTTTTTCCAAGCCCCACTTCTCCTCTTTCTGTCGATTGCTGTATTTCTTGAATTTTTTCTAGTGACAAGTGACAATTTATTCATATTAATACATATTCTGTTCTGTTCCATTTCCTCTTCATTTAATTACCTCCAAGAAAGTCCTCAATCTGTTTAAGGCAAACAATTCAAACACAAAGCCTGATTTTTTTTATTTTATTTTATTATTTTATTTTATTTTATTTGTTTTGTGTTTACCTAAATATTGGTTTAAGTCTGTCGATCAAATCATTGTCGATTAGGTTTGAACTGAATTTTTACCAACATAAATTGGCACGCACAGTGGGACCATTCTAACTTGGAGTAATGGTGAAGAAGAAAACTGAAAAAGCTGAGACTACTGATGTGAGTAGGAAATTTACAGATGAGTCAGCCTTCTTGGAGATCCAAGTAAGAGGCCTACTGATGACATTTTGGTTCTTACTGGCTTCGTTGAATTTGGGGAATATATGGGAACATATAAAGGAAATGATAATCTAGCTTGGTCACACCTTTGAGGTAAGGCTAGAGCATCTTACAGAGAGTATAAGGGCAAAACTCAGAATGCTTAGGGGATTCAGCCCCACTTCCAGTCCTCCACCACCAGCCAAATTGGAAACACAGGTAACCAAGGTATAATTTTAAACCTTTAAGACTAGCAAAATTCACCAGAGTAGTACTTCTTTCTATAGACCTCCAACTCTTCAAGTAGAGGAACATGAGAGGATTCAAATTAATCCCAATCAAACCTATAAGGAACTTAAGCTCAACGTCAATTATGGGGCACAAATTGGTCACTATAGGCCTATTGCACAAAGAGAGGCCTTGGAGGGAAAATCACATTATAATTCGACTTTTGAAACAAATAACAAACCAAGACAAGGGGGCGTAATTGGCCTTTAGAACAAAAAGAACCAGTAAATGACATGGTCAGGGTAGTTTGAAGCCCCTAGGTATGAGGAACCTGTCATCAACAGGCCAAGAGTAGGGCAATATAACTTTGCTGACTAGAGGTTTAGGTAGCCAAACTGTGAAAACCCAAGGCCAAGGGGCCACCAAAGACCTAGGCAGCAAGCGTACCAAGAACAAGACTTCAGAAATTATGAGGCACAAAAAGGGCTTGGACCACTCCCTTAACATTTTGAGGAAGCATGTGGTGGTCTACGCCCACATTGATAGCATCATTTCCAACCTTATGAGGGGTTTATTGTACCAAATGACCAACCACGCATAAATGAAGGGATAGGATATGGCACCTATAATGAGGAGCCGTATTTTGAACCAGTCCAAGTAAATAGGCATTAGATTATGGAAATAATCTAGGAGATATACGGCCCAGGGCCAAGAAGGCCTAATAGGCCTATGTTTAGAAAACCATATCCTTATTGGATAGATAAGACCCCTCTTCCCAGAAAATTTAAAATGCCTGAATTCTCTTTGTTTACTGGGGAAGAGAGGCAGTCGACCATAGAACACATAGGTAGATTCACTCTGCAGTATGGGGATGCTAATTTAGAAAATTTGAAATTAAGACTTTTTCCATACTTGTTGTTAAAAATGGCCTTCACCTGGTTCATCAACCTGCCAGAAAACTTAATACCCACATGGCAGGATATGGAAAGTGAATTCCATGCTCAGTTTTACAGAACTGAACCAGACATTAGTATGGTAGACTTAGCCAAATTCCAACAAAGGCAAGGAGAATCTGTAGAACAGTACATTGACAGATATAAAAAGGCTAGAAATAGGTGCCACATTTATATGCCTGAAATATAAGGTTGGCCCAGAATGGCCTTGATTTTGAATTAAGAATTTTGTTTTGAAGGAATGGAATTTAGAGACCTCTTTGAACTATCATCAAGGGCAACTAATTATGAGTCCATTCTTAGGGAGGAACAAAGAAGAGTTACTACTCTCGGCACATATTATCAAGACGTAGAGTGTGCGGGCCGAATATTGGTAGTTGTAAAGAGGCCGAATAATTGGACCTGGAGAGTCGAAATATATATATCGCATTCGGTCCCATCTCGCAGATTCAAATCCTACCCTATTCGGCTTAATAGCTGGTAGAGCAAGGGGCCGAGTGAAAAGCAGTTTGCAACAAAAGAAGCCGAGTAAATAGTTATACGGCGAATTGAGAGTGGGTCCAGTCCCGAGGCCCAAGAAAGAAAAGATATAAATAGAAGAACATCAGCTAGAAAGAGGTATGTGAGAATCAATACGCTTAACTTAAAGTACAAGTAATCCAGAAAGTTGAGACTGACTTGTCCGTTGGAGTGCTAATTCCGGCACCCCCGATCGGCGTGTTTATTCATTTTCAGGTCAATAGCAAAGGATCACGAGCGTCCCTCGGGATCCAAAGAGTATTTCCAAACCACCTTCCCCACAATTGGTGCCGTCTGCGGGAATACTCAACCACATCCATGGCGGGCGCAACGGAAGATCCTCCGATAATCGCTGATGAAACTACACCGAGAGATGATCTCACCCCAGTAAACATGCTGGGACCAGAGACTATCGCCGTAAGACGCACCTTGAACTTCAACTCACCCTTGACTTCAGAACAGGAGACAATGCAAGCAATCATGGAACAAGCAAAGAAAAACGAACAGAGGTTGAGAATATGATTGCTGAGAATGAACGTCTCCGTCAGGATTTGGCCTTAGAAGTGGCGAAGTCCAAACAAGCTGTACGCTAAGATCCGGAACAACCTCTGAGGGCAGGTGGTCGACGACCTCGAGCCCAACAACATGACACTGATAGCGACTCCGACTCATTAT